AAATGCACTTACACCTTCCCCTTTTTTTACGAACTTGTGTGACAGTGACATGCATTTTATGCTGAAAACAGTCAGGAACGCTTGTTTGGTACTAAAAAATCAAGGTATAATGACACAAAATTAAGACACATATATCGGAAAAAAGCTGAGGTACACAGTAATTATACACATATTTATGTCTTGTAAAAAAAAAATTTTTTTTTGACTGACCGATCAGACTTTTTCACATCTAAAATCCGTAAACAAATAAATATTTAAAAAACTTGGCCTTATGCATTTAGTCTTTGTGTCTAGAGATTAATTTTACAGCAAATTTGCTTGATTTTAAATACATTTCAACAATGTTAATGAAATTGGAATTAATGTTTTATTGGTAAGGAAATAAAAAGAAAATATTGGATTATGATAAAAAAGAATATTTTGTAGACATCAGATGAACTTTGCATTTAACAGAAGGGATTATTACCATAATAAATGGTATACTAAGCCTTTTTCTAAGTGAATCTTTAACACTATAAATCTTAAATAATGATTATAGAAATATTTGATCATAAGTCGTTTTTTTTAAGATCTCTACCATGCAGTGGCGGGGTTCCCTTCTATTATTTACAATGTATTTTCCTGACAAATTGTTTTGAAGTCTGTTACGTATCCAGATGAATAAGAGATTGAGTATTCATAAGTTGTAAGGATTTTTTTAGTCTGTACTGTCATTGTGCATTTATTACATATATTACATAAACTGGTATTGTTGACCAGTATCATTATAGGGATGAGGATGTATTTTCCATCCATATGCGACAATATTAACATTTTCTTATTATATAAAAATTTATAACAAAAACCAGAAAATTTATGTTATAGATATACAGACTACATGTATTCATAAATAAACCAAAACATATTAAACCCATAGAAGATATAAAGAATTTTTATGACACCGTCAGTGCAATCTGAAGTCCTTGTGAAACTATTTGCTATAAGAAATACCTTTATGTCCCCATTACTTTTAGAAACGTGCATCATTTTATGTCCCAGCCCTTATATACTTGTTCACCTCTCTCTGTATTTTTTTCCAGATAAGATATGATAATCTTCATGTTTCCAATAATTTCTTATCTTATTATTACCCACTAAACAAAGTGACGAAGGGTATAATATTTTTGACTCGTCCGTCCATCAGTCATGTTGTTGTCATCGCAACTTATCTGAAACTACACAACAGAATTTCATGAAACTTTGTAGAAATAAGGACATACTATACAGATGGGCATTTTAACATGAAATTATGATTCAATTCTTTTTTCAAGGAGAAATGCCCCTTTGAACTCAGAATTTTGGCCTCAATATACTACTGGAACAGTTTGCCATCGCAACTCCTCTGTAACCGCGCAACATAATTTCTTTAAAATGTGTAGATAGTTAGGACATACTTTGTAGATGTGCAAATCCACAGGAAATTATGATTCGATTATTGTTCTACGAGTAATATCCCTTTGAACTTAGAAGATTGGCCTAATTACAATACTGCAACTGTTGTCATTGTAACTTCTCTGAAACTACATTACATAATTTCCTGAAACTTTATAGATAATAAGGACATAAAATGTACGTGCATATCCACAAGAAACTTTTATCAGTTGCTTTTTGTGGGAGTTATGAGTCTTTGAACTAAGTAATCTGTCGGGATTGGGTTTGCCGAGTGACAATGTGGGGCCATGGAGTGATTCATGGGGTATGTGAGCGTGCTCACAATGGTTCTTACATTTAAAAACAGTGAGCAGTACCATATAAACAGATTTAATTGCTGCTAAAGAATTATCATTCTTTATCAATCAATTGGTTCTGGGGCTAATACATTAAATATGTTAGTACCAGATTTATTAGATCTCATTTTGAAAACAATTCTGAAATTAGTAATAGGGTCCATGATGTTCCCATTTCCCGAATAAAAAATAAACTCCAAGTACTCGCAAAGCGGTTTGTGTTCGTACCGGCAGACAAAGCAGCAAATAACGTAGTGGTGGTGTGACGCATATACTACACGGAAGTTCTCCAAAACGAAATTAAAAATTCATCTACATTCAGGTCCGTACGCTCCACAGAGAGTCAAATTGTAAACAAGCATATCACTGCCACTACCCAGCTTAAAGCCTCTTCCAAACATTTGAAAGTCCCTACTATGTACTGAATACCTAAATTGCACAAAAACCATTTAAATTCCGTTTCATCTCCGCATCTAGTAAGTGTTCTACTACCAATCTATCAGTGCTTCTAACTACCTCCCTTACTACTATCAAAGAACTTGTTATTAACTTTTGTAATAAAGCTTATGAAAATAATGGTATTAATTATTTTTGGAGTGTTAAAAATTCTTTAGAGGTTTTAGACAAAATTCATGCTTTTGATGGTCCTTATAATTCTGTTGACAGTTATGATTTTTCTACTCTCTATACTACACTTCCACACAATCTTATCAAGAAAAAGTTTTCATATTTAGTTAAATGGTCTTTTGAAAAATCTCATTACAAATTTATTTCCTGTAACTCGTTTAAAGCCTTTTTCTGTAACGAAAAAGGAAAGTATGCTAGATACACTTACTGGAAATGTGAAGATATGATTGAAGCTTTAAATTTTCTCCTGGACAACATATATGTACGTTTCAGCGATAAAGTGTATCGACAAGTAGTAGGTATTCCTATGGGCACTAACTGCGCCCCTTTAATAGCATATTTATTCCTGTATTGCTATGAATCTCAGTGTATGACCAAACTCAGTAAAGACACGTCATTGTTACATTTGGTTGATACATTCAACAATACATTCCGTTATCTAGATGATATTTTTTCGTTAAATAATCCAGAGTTCTCTAAATATACTACCGAAATTTACCCAATAGAACTTACTTTAACTAAATCTAACATAAACAGCAGTAGTTGTCCTTTTCTAGATTTGGACATTTCAATCTCTGAAGGAAAACTTCATACGAAAATTTACGATAAAAGAGACGACTTTTCATTCCCTATTATTAATTTTCCATTTTTAGACGGCGATGTTCCATTGGCTCCATCATACGGTGTTTATATATCCCAACTCGTTCGTTATGCCAATGTGTGTAGTGATCGATGTCATAGATTTTAACGAACGTAATCAATGCATCACTGGTAAATTATTAAGTCAGGGATTTCGTTACCATAAATTACGTAAAACTTTTACTAAGTTCTTTCATAGATACAAAGATTTGATTAGTAAATTTGGCTGTACCTGAAGAAAACTGATTAAAAACGGTATTTCACATCCTAAATTTTACGGTAATATTGTACTTAAAGCGCGGAAATCACTATGTGATCCGTGTAAACTGATCGAACCTTTAAACAAACTTTTTAGTAAAGGTTATCTTACCAATGTTGTAATTAGATCTTTGAATATAGTTTACATTGGCACTAATATCGATTTTGTCATCAGCAAATTAAAACATAACAAAATTTGTATTCTTTTCAAACGGGATGTATAAAGACACACCCACGTTCATTTTGACCTATAAAGAGGTTAAACTCCTAACTATCCTACTGTCTGTCGATACATTTATTTTTGGCATTGAATAAGTCATGTCTTCTTTGACTGTCCATGACGTTAAAATATTAAATCCCTGGGATGTGTTTTAGTTGATTTTAGTCTCTGATGCATGATGTTTTGGCTTTTAACTAGCTGTCAGTAACTGCGAGTACTCTCAAATCGTACTTTCTTGTTTATTTGACCTGTTGATACTAATTGTAATGCTTTTTTGTTATTTAATGTTATTCAGGGTTATATCTGGTCTATACACCAGCTTTGATTAGTGTTTGGTATTACTATACATTTTCACTTCGTACTATGAACATCAAAATTATGTATTTTGTAAAAATATTTCCTTTCTCTATTGGAACTGTACACGTATACCTAACAACTAAATTATTTTTATTTACCTGTGTTTAAATTAATTGCAAATGGCTGATATTTTTGTTCGAGCATATTGTTTTTCTTAAATTGTTTAACATTTCATACCGGTATAACATGTTACTTTTATTATTCTTCCCTTAGTTTATTCATTTTGTATCTACATTGTATCATAGGTCAAATTTATTTGTTCAGTGTATGTTCACTGGTGTTTATATGTCCTTTGATTGAGTTAAGCTATTTCAGTTGATATTTTATAGTGTGTCTTTCTATGTTGTGATTTGACACTATTGTTTCAGGAAAAAGAGTGAAGGTTTGGTACCATTAAAACGTTTAAACCCGCTGCATTTGTTTGCACCTGTCCTAGTCAGGAATCTGATGTTCAGTAGTTGTCGTTTGTTGTGGTTCATAAGTGTTTCTCGTTTCTCGTTTTTTATATAGATTAGACCGTTGGTTTTCCCGTTTGAATGGTTTTACACTAGTAATTTTTGGGGCCCTTTATAACTTACTGTTCGGTGTGAGTCAAGGCTCCGTGTTGAAGACCGTACTTTGACCTATAAAGGATTACTTTTATAAATTTTGACTTGGATGGAGAGTTGTCTCATTGGCACTCATACCACATCTTCTTATATCTATTGACAGTCTGTACACGTAATTTGTAGTACTTTCGATATATTCAAAACAGGATTTGATAACATTTACATTTTCAAAACATTTTTTAGAGACCATATTTACATTTTCAAAACATTTTTTAGGGACCATATTTACATTTTGAAAACAAAAGAATATTAAAAATTCTTAGTGATTAAGATGATTTTTATAGTCATTTTGTGTATTTGACCATAATATCAAATTTTTATTTTTATTTTAAAATGCATGCTGGAGTTAAAGGACTTTCACTAACTTGCCCTTTTGATAACAAAACTTTGAAGGATAATATTATATGTATTCAAAATATTTTATTTAGGGTTTTCTCAGATGTTGAACAGATCACAAGAAAAAATCATGTCAAGTGCAGCTATGAACAAGATCCAAATATCTGTATGAAAAGCTATGATAAAAATTATAAAAATTTGGCTGAACAAAAGAAAACCATACATTTTATTATTGCAATCTAAGACAATGGCATCAGCACTTTCACAAAAGGAAGAAAATTATGTTAGAATGAGCTTGTTACTGACAGGAATATCTCCTCGTGCAGCTAGAGTTTTGTTTGATCACGAATTTGTTCCATCATGCTTGGTTGCCTCGCTGAAGAAAGAGTACAATAAACTAAGAGAACTTCAAAAGAAGAGAATAATAAACCAGTCCCAGTGGAATCTCCTGTGTCCGAGATTTCCTGGTGAGTTTAGAGAGATATGAGCGGCGTCGAATAGAAATCAACCTTATGCAAATAAATATCAACACATCTATTAACCTATTTCGGGTTGAAAATATCGCCATGTAAAGACTAACTGCTTGAACGTTGAGTTGATAAAGAACCCTACAAAACAAACCAAAATTCATCATTTGTTTCATATTTAAATGTTCGTAAATCAAGCATAGTCTTACACTTGCATAAGGTCGATTCCTATGTAATACATACATGATATATGTCAGTCCCAGTGAAACCTCGTGTTCCCTAAATTTCCTGGTAAGTTTAGAGAGATATGTTGTGTCAGTCACAGTGAAACCTGATGTTTCCTTGATTTCCTGGTACGCAAAAAGAGAGAGATGTGTTGTCAGTTTGTTTTCGATCTATGAGTTTGACTGTCCCTCTGGTATCTTTCGTCCCTCTCTTATATTATAGGTCAGTCACAGAAAACCTCGTGTTCCCTAGATTTCCTGGTTAATTTAGAGAAATATGTTATGTGTCTGGCAAAGAAAAACCTCCTGTCTTCGCGGTTTGAAAAGATATGGTTTATGTCAGTCACAGTGGAATATCCTGTTTCCGGGATTTCCTGGTAATTTTTGAGATATATGGTATATGTCAGTCACAGTGAAACCTCATATTCCCTAGACTTCCTGGTTAATACAGAGAGTCATATCAAATTTTAATCACAGTGGAAATCACTTTTCCCTAATTTTCTGGAAATTATATAAGGACATGTTATATTTCAGTCACAGTGAACACCCCTGTCCCCAATATTTCCTGGTATTTGTGAGAAACATTGTTACAAGTCGGTCACAGTGAAACAACCTGTTCCTTCGATTTCTTGGTATGTTGTGAGAGACATTGTTACATATCAGTCACAGTGAAACCCCCTGTTCCCAAGATTGCCTGGTATGGCATGAGAAACATGTTATATGCCAGTCACAGTGCGACCTCCTATTCTTAAGATTGCCTGGTTTGTAGTGAAAGACATGTTATATGTAAGTCACACCGAAACCACCTGTTCCCAATATTGCCTGGTTTGTTGTGAGAAGTATGTTATATATCAGTCACAGTTGAACCTCCTGTTTCCAAGATTTCAAGGTATGTTGTGAAAAACATGTTATATGTATGTCACAGTGCAACCTCTTATTCCAAGATGTTTTGGTATTTTGTGGGAGACATTTTGATACATGTATGTCAGTCACAGTCGCACCTCCTCTTCCGAAAATGTTCTGGTATGTTGTGCGAGACAATGGCAGACTTAAATTGTCAGCAGACTTTAAAATTTGCATCATTAACCAATTGCAAATACTAGTAAAAAAAAACGGTGCCACTGCACAGAAAAAGAAATTTTTTCTACTGCAAATCAAGGCCATAAAGATACCAAAAAGCTTATAAGCATTTGTAACTTTATATAAACTACAAACCAGTAAAAGTCTGAAATGACCTATTTCTGTAATACACTGTACTGATTTTTGCTCGACCAGTCTGAAATGGTCTGAATTTTACTTGTTATTATTTGACCTCAATCTAACCATACTCGACTGTACTGATTTGTACTTGAACATTATCTTTGCCGTTGAAAAAAATCTGAACTATTACTCGACCAGTCAGAAACAGTCTTAACCAATTCCCGACATGTACTTGACCTATTTTATCTGTCTGAACCATACTAGACCAAAGGTCTGAACAATACTCGACCAGTCTGAACTATACTTGACCAGTAACCTCTCCTTTTTTTTAATTTTAACTGTTTATATAACTATTTTTTATCTGATATGACAACAACCACAAAACAGTAGAGATATTTTTACAGACTTCTACATCCTTACATGATTATTAGATTTATTAAATTAGAAATGATTAAAAATGTTCTTCTGATCAGAGGTAAACTATAAAGTAATACCTCTTGCTTGGGGCACACTCATTAAAAGAGCACACCTGGTCAGGTAGTAATAAATTTTGATTATCATCCTTTGAAAATTAAACAATATGTTGTAAAACTTAAATCGCAAAGACTTTTGAATCCACTAGAAAAATAATACACGAGTTTAAAGAAAAAAAGGATTTCTTTTTAGCTGTAAATCCCACCTGTACTGAGGTATTTAAATCTTTTTAATGTGCTTCTTATGTGCCATGTCTTAAATTTTGAGAAAACTTAATTAATTAATCTAAATTTTTACTGAAACTTTAGGACATAATTTCTTTTTTAAAAGGTCAAGGATTGCTATGGAAGTTCTATAATATTAAGTTCTTGGTGTTACAAAACAAGGGTGTCATTTAAAAAATTAATATGATGCTTTATATACAATTAAAAAAAAAATTGCTTCACTCGAATGACACCATAAATTTATCAAACGACAAAAATATTTTTGTAATTCTTGATCTGATATATATGAAAGCAATTTTCTAAAAAAAAAAGTCAATAATGATCAAATAATTGTTAGGAAAGCAATTTGTCAAAGTTGCTTGTTACTTAAATAGTTACATGATGCCAAGAAATATATCCTTTAACATGTTTAAGCATGATTTAAATTTGAAAGATATTCATTTATTAAGGTTTTTGAGCAATTTCCTTAACTGTAACATGAAAGAATTTAACAAAAGTAATTATTTTAAAATATTTCTCTTATGCATTCAAACAATTATAAACAAAATATTTGTGCTTTTTTGTCGTGTGAATTTTTTCCTATCAAATTTTGACTTATGACTTTCTGTCCGTTTACCTAGTTTTTTACCAGGCTTAAGTTGTTGTTGAAAATTTTCCAGTAACCACAAAATATATCTGAAAATTCAAAACGTTTTGAATAACATTTAAGTTTGAATAATGGTTGATATTTCTAGTATTTTTGATTTACATAATGCACTGTTAACATGGTCTTATATAAAAATTCATTTAACTGAAAACTTAATTTATTGCATGATATTTCTTAACGGATCAGAAATCATTTACTTTAACCATCTTGTTTTTATTTTTTCAAGAGGTGATATATATGATGAATATAGTGTTGATGATTATATAGAGTTTATTGTAAAATTTTGGTTTCAATGCTATATTAAATACAATTTAGATTTCCAATTGTTGTTCAAATTTCAAGCCAAGGGAAACACCTGAAAATAGTTCCTGAATTGATGAAAAACAATAGACAAATACAGAAATAGGTCTACGTTGGTTAAGACTTGGTCGAGTATGGTTCAGACTAGGTCGATGATGGTTCCGACACTTATAAAATGGTTAAGTTCTGGTCGAGTATAAATCGAGAACAAGTTCAGACTGTTAATTGCGGTTCAGACTACAGTCGAGTAATATCAATTAAATTTCAGACTAATTAAGACTGGTCGAATATAAATCAGTACAGTCGAGTACAGATATTGGCCATTTCAGACTTTTTTTATTGGTTTATAGTGATACTAGTTCTAGTATTATAGCATTTTGATTCCATTAACATGATCCGTATTCATATATTGATAAATCTACAATCGTTTATTAGCAGAACAATAGAATATTAATTTGCAAGTATGAACAAAAAAACATACATGGAAAATTATAATTACATCTTTCATTGATTCCTGAAACAGAATAAATTATGCATTATTTAGAAATGATTTAGTTTCTGTAATGCTCCATTTCACTGCTGGGATCTATTTAGGTTATTTATAGAAATTATCAAGCTACTGTGATCTTCCATCTCACTCCTATGATATATAAAGGTTATTTTTAGAAATATCAAGTGTCTGTGATCTTCCATCTTACTCCTATGATATATAAAGGTTATTTAAAGAAATTATCAAGTTTCTTTAGTGTTACATCTTTCTTTAATTATAGAAATGATCAAGTTTCTGTAGTGTTCCAATTTTTTTCGGATATATAAACATGATAAAAGTTATTTATAGAAATGATCAAGTTACTTTGAACTCCCATCTCACTCTTATGATATATAAAGGGTATTTATAGGAATGACCAAGTTACTGTAATCTTCCATCGCACTCTTATGATACATAAAGGTTATTTATAGAAATGAACAAATGCCTGTGATCTTCTATCTTACTCTGATGATAGATAAAGATTATTTATAGAAATGATCAAGTGTTTGTAATTTTTCATCGCACTCTTATGATATATAAAGGTTATATTATAGAAATGATCAAGTGTCTGTGATCATCTATCTTATTCTTATGACAAATAATTTCATTTCTATATATAACCATCATAATAATGGTTATATATAGAAGTGATAAAGTTAATGTGAGCATCCATCATAGTCGTAGGACATATAAAAGAAATGAGCAAGTTTCTGTGATCTTCCCTCAAACTCTTAATATGAATAAAAGTTATCAATTTGGCTTCAATCGTCATTGATTCAATGATCTAGCTGTATGCATATTTATTCATTTCTAGATGTTCCCGATTCAAAAATATTTGATGTAACTCTAATAATGATATTATTAAAAAACTTGACAAAACTGACCCCTCCTCATGGTGGATATGACACGTTGCCATCTTCTAACGAAACGACACCAACATCAGATTTAGCCAGAATAAAATATTACAGAAATTTCCTGGCTCACCTTGATGAGGGAAAAGTAGACAACAATACATTCAATACAGCATGGGACAATGTTACTGAAGTGAGTTTATGTTACTATGGATACAAAATACATGTGTTATATTTCATTATTATTATCATGGAAGGTATTCATCGCATACATTATACATAATATGGCATAAACAGTTCGTGTAATTTGTTTAAATGCTTTGAAACAAAAACGTTTAAAAAGTATGAGAGTAAATTCTATTTTTTATTAACTTATTTATTCTCCAACAAGAAGCAATGCATATACACAAAACATTTTAATGTAGTTTAAAAAGAGTCACTTTTCCTTGTGAGAGTGTTAGCCCAATATAAAGTGTCAGAGTTGCCGCAATATTGGAATCCTGTTTTTGTCAGAAGTAATTTATACCGCAGAAGATGTAAACTGTATTTTTCTCTCCGAATTTTAAAATATGAAAAGGGTAAATTTTTAAAACAGAAATAACTCTCTGCTAGTTTTGTTTTTTTTTAAGCGAAAATGACTTAAAGTGAACAATGTTGAAATTGTACCTTTCAATCCCTAATAGTTCAATTGATTAAAAAAAAAAGGATGAAAACTCAATCTCAACCCTTTTATCGAAAATGAAGAACAATGTACAAGTTAGAAAAGGAAATATTGTAGGATTGTAAATACGTCAAATATATTCAAAAAGTTTACTAAACTTTGTATGCTTAATTAAAATAACTAAACTTTGCTAGAATAAGATCTTTAACAGAAAGACACAATTTAACCAAAGTTGCATGCATAGTCCCATTTTCGTTTCTGGACTCTAACTTCAGTTTTCTTCATGTTGAGAATCAAAACTCGTATACAGAGTTCGAATGTGTGCAGTGAGTCCCTTTATAACTTGAAACATAGCATATTTTGCTGTGTCCACACTGTAACTAAAGTTTCACTCATCCATATTTAATGAAACTCATGCACAATGCTAAGAACCACAACACACAGACATATAGTTGAAATTTTCGTTATATGTCATTTACTGTTGTAGAGTTATGCCCCTTTATAACTTGTTAACTTGCATTTTGTTTTAGTTTCCGCACTCCTATTTAAGTTTGTTTAATTCAAATTTTATGAAACTTATACATAATGCTAAGAACCACAGAACACAGATAGAATTTTGGCAGTGAGTCATTTACTGTTCCAGAGGTATACCCTTTTTAACTCGGAAAATTGGAAAGCTTGACCTGGGGCATTCGTGTCCTCAGACACAGTCTTCTTTTATTTAAGAAATGATTCAATGTTGCATGTCATCTATGGTTTTTAAATCTATGTTATGTCAATGTAACATGATGGTGGCCAAAATAGGGACGTTTTTTTAAAGTAGTGCAGCTGTTAAACTTTCTTTCTATATTGAAGTTGAGATAAACATGAAGAGAACAAGTAATTCACCATGTTTTCCTGTAATGAATGTAGTATAATATTGTCGTAGTTTTGTGATATATGAAAAAATTACTTAGTTTTCTCATAGTTTTAAATACATGTACGCGGTATAAATGACCTAATTAGATAATTCAACAACGTTCTTGTGAATTTCTCCTTCACAGAAGGTACATGGTCCTTACATTTGATTATTATTTTCCAGTCATAAATAAATTCAAAGCTTTCCGTTTATAGCGAAATTAATATTTTGTTAGGAGTCGGGAATACTACCTCATATGGACATGCATAAATTAGCTACTAATGTCCTCGCAAATATAATTGTTATTTACGTACAAAGCAATTTCTTTTACCTAGGTTTTTGACCAATCCACTAAATGAGTAACAATGCATGGTGGACTACTAGGATCAACCGAGAACACGTGTCATAAATTGAAATACAACACATTTTTTCATGCATTGCGGGATACACAATTTCGCTTAGTTTTTCATATTTTGTATCTACATTCATAGTCCGTGATATGAAATATTTGTTCCATGCTCAGATTAACGAATAGTTGTTTCTATGCGTATGTTTAAATTACCCAAATGTTTCACCTACAATGCGGGAGTGTAATCTAACACAAAAATGATAAGACCCATCACTCTACTTTATTGTACTTGCACCTGTATATAAATTTCATATACTTTATTTTATTGATGATTAAACGAAGATTTCATATATTCGTCCACAAGACAGCAACGAAACAACAGTGAAAAACACAATAACCCTTTACTATGAAATTCTATGTAATGTTAATATATTAATAATTTGACAGGTACGGTTATGTATAAATTCTATATCAACCATCATAATTCATCGAAACTGTTCAAGACATACTTAATTCGTGTCTGACAATGTTAACAAAATCTATAAGAATTGATTTTTCTGCATATTTCAGGTTTTTTTCTCTTTGCTCTGAGGGTAATGAAGCAATATTTTCTTCAATCATTGCAACAAGCTGTTACTTCTATTGTATCGCTAGGAATTTTTGATATTTTTAACGCACTCGGATATTTGCCAATCTTGATAAAATCATATATGATGCTAACCATGTTTATGTGCGTCAAGGACGTGAACATTGATATGTTTTGTGAAATTGTAATTCTTATTTACTATTTCCCATTTTATACTAGCTTTTAACTACAACAGATATATGTTTTTATACGACCGCCAAATTTTTTATGCGTTCGTATTATGTAATGGCGATGTCCGCGTCTGCGTCTGAAGATATTTTGGCAATATCTAGAATATAAGTGTATGGATCTCTATGCAATTTTAGCAGAAGGTTTCATGCCACTGAAGGAGGGTTGAGATAGGTTTTGGGGGTTATTGTCGAAGCTGTTTTGTAATATTGGGCCAGAAAAAGGCGAAAATAATCATTTGTCTGGTTTTTAGACAATAACTTGAGTACAAATTTGTATATCTCTTTTAAAATTTAAGCACAAGGTACCACACCGCAATAGGAAGGTTGCGATTGATTTGGGGGGGGGGGGGGGGGGGGGGTGTTATAGTCATATCTGTTTTGTTATTAGGGGCCAAAACAAGCACATGTTTCAGGAAAATAATTTGAGTATAAAAGTATAGATTTTTATGAAATTTTACTATAAGTTCCGGTTTCAAAAGCATAGCTGGAATTGATCTTTGGGGGTCATGGTCCAAACCGTTAAATAATTAGGGGTCGAAAAGGGGCAAAAACAACTATTTTTCTGGTTTGTAAGCAATAACTTGAGTATAAGTGTATAGATCTCTATTAAGTTCTAGCCCATTTTTTTTTCACCACAATAGGACAATTTGTATTTATTTTGGGGAGCATTATAGTATCTGTTTAGGACTTTGGGGCAAATAAGGGGCTAACGAAAACAATTATTTTTCTTGTTTACGGACAATAACATGAGTATAAGTGCATGGATCTCTATTAAATTTTAGCAAAAGGTTCCATACCACAATAGAAAGGTTGCGTTTTTTATGGGGGGTTATTGTCGTAGCTGGTTAGAAATAAGGGGCCAAAAAGGGGCAAAAAAAAGCATTTTTTATTTTCAGGACAATAATTTGTGTATTAGATCATGGATCTCTATTTAATTTTACCACAAGGTTGCACCCTTCAAAAGGAAAGTTATGCTTGTGGAGAGGGGGAAGGGGAGGCATGGCACAACCGCTTTAAGATTAGGGGCCAAAAAGGGGCCAAAAAGGAACCGAAGATGTACTGAAGAGGACTATGATTTTCTGGTTTCTGGACAATGCCATGAATATAAGTCCATTAATTGCTATTTCATTGTGACACAAGTGTTATATAATAAAATAAAGTTTGGGATTGATTTAATAGGTTATGACAATAACGGTTCAATCAAGAGGGGCAAAAACAATACTTTTGTAATACTTTGTATAAATCGCTTATTTCGTTAGCAATTTCAATGGGGTTTGATTCAAAGTCTAGAATTCTTAGGGTTTTTTAATATGCTGAATCTTTTTTGGGTATTTAGAAATTTGGATTGTGGGTCCTATTTTTGAATTGATCTATATTAAGGTTCAAAGGGTCCAAAATTAAACCATTTTTTCATATGCTGAATCTAATTTTGAATTTAGATTTATTTAATTTTGAGGCCTGTCTTCAAATTGGTCCACTTTAAGGTCATAAGGGTTCAAAATTAAACTTTGTTTGGTTTATAAAACAAAAGGAACGGTTGGGGTTCTTTGATATGCTGAATCGAAGCATGTATTTAGATTTTTTATTTTGGGCACAGTATTAAAGTTTGTCATAATGGGGGTCCAAAATTAATCTTTGATTGATTTTATCAAAAAATGAATTATTGGTGTTCTTTGATGTGCAATTTTCTAACAGTGTTTAATTTTTTTTTTAATTTTGGGCCCATTTTTCAAACTGGTCCCATTAAGGTCCAAAGTATCCAAAATATAACTTAGTTTGATTTTTTCAAAACATGAATTCTCGGGATTCTTTGATAGGCTAAATCTTAGCATATAATTATAAATCAAATTTTGGGCACATTTTAAAAATTGGTTGAAAATGGAGTCCAAAATTAAAGTTTGTTTGATATTAACAAACATTTAATATATGGAGATTTTTGAAATGCTGAAAATAAGTGTGTTTGTTGATTTTGGATTTTGGGTCCTGTTATCAAATTGGTTCACATTGAGATCATAAGGGTCCCTAATTAAATTTTGTTGGATATCTTCAAAAATTGAATTCGTGGGGTTCCGTAAAAAGGAAGGTCGGTTTGTTTTTGGGGGTTATGATGCTAACGGTTAGGGGAAAATGGGCCAAAATAAACCACTTTTGCAATACATTGTATAAATTGATTATTTCTTGACCAATTTCAATGGGGTTTAATTCAAAGTCTTGAATTGTTGGGGATCTTTAATGTGCTGAAACTTACTATAATTTAGAATTTGGGTTCATGGCCCTGTTTTTGAATTCGCCCTTATTTAGGTCCAAATTAAACTTTGTTTGATTTCATCAAAATTGAATTTATTCTTTCATTTGCCGAATCTAACCGTGTATATAGATTTTTAATTTTTGGGGCCTGTTTTCAAATTTCTAATTTCAATTTTCAATGGGTCCAAATTAAAATGTGCTTAATTTTAACAAAAATTGAATTCGTGGGGAAATTTGGTATACTAAATCTTATTGTGTTTTTAGATTTTTGAATTTGGGATCTTTTTTCAAATTGGTCTACATTAAAGTTCAAAGGGTTAAATTCAAAGCCTTGAATTTTTTGGGTTCTTTAATATGCTGAATCTTACCGTATATTAAGAATTTGGGTTCATGGCTCTGTTTTTGAATTGGCCCATTTTTAGGTCCAAAATTAAACTTTGTTTGATTTCATCAAAATGGAATTATTGGTGTTCCTTGATATAAACCGTGTATTTAGATTTTTTATTTTTGGGGCCTGTTTTCAAATTTCAAAGGAGTCCAAATTAAAATTAGTTTGATTTAACAAAAATTGAATTCGTGGGGGTAATTTGATATACTAAATCTAATTGTGTTTTTAGATTTTTGATTTTGGGATCGATTTTCAAATTGGTCTACATTATCGTTCAAAGGGTCCAAACAAAATTTTTTTATTTGATTTTAACAAAAATTGAATTCAAGGGGTTCTCTCATATGCTGTATCTAATCATGTTTTAAGCTTTTTTATTTTGGGGTCAGTTTTTAAGTTGGTCAAAATTGGGTTCCAAAATTAAACGTTATTTGATTTTAACAAAAATTGAATATATTAAGTTCTTTGATATGCTGAATCTAACCATATATTTTGATCTTTGATTTTGGGCCCAGCTTTCAAGTTGGTCGAAAATGGGGTCTAAAATTAAAATTTGTTTGAATTCAACAAAAATGGAATATAATAATTATGTGGTTCTTTGATATGGTGAATCTAACCGTGTATTAAGATTGTTAATTTTGGGCCTGTTATCAAATTGGTCTACATTGAGGCACAAAGGGTCCAAAATTAAACTTTGTTTGATTTCATCAAAGATTAAAGTTTTGGGGTTCTATGGTATGCTGAATCTTATCGTATATTTATTTTTTGGGTATGGGACCATATTGAGATAAAGTCCAACTTTAAAAAAATTGGTTCTTTGACCACATTTGTACTGTGTCAAAAACCTGCGGAGATTTTTGTTCAATGTTACAATTATATTCCTCTATTATGAAATCAATGCGGAGATTTTTGTTCAATGTTACAATTATATTCCTCTATTATGAAATCAAAACCCTGATAAGCATCAATGCGACCACTTCGGAAAAAGGACTCTTGTTTATTCAAACAATTTCGAATTTCAATGTTTTTGGAATGCCATTATATCGGATACAAAAAATCCAAGAGCATATATATAGAGAGGCGTGCAACCGTTTTGACAGATTTTAAAGAGCTGAAATGAATTTTATACTTGGCAGTGGTCACTTCCTTGGAAATGTCACTGTTTCACGTGAAATCAATGCAAAGGTACAATGTATTACAATGGACAAAACCTGTTCAACTACTTTTACGACTTTTGAAGATTATGTTATATATTTTACATTTAATACATTGGCAGAACGAAATTATTTATTATGAGAGTCCCAGACACTTTACAAGTTGACTGTTTTCCACTAATATCACGTGATTTTAACTGGAAGTAAACTCGTAGTAGCCCACAACACATTGTCGTTTATTGAGTCGATTGGTCAGTTTTTTTAATGCCATATTTACCTTCTATTTGGATAACTACTATGCAAATTGTATTGACGTCAGGAAATGTAGCGGTCCTGGCCTGTTGAAAATACATGTAGAAAAGGAACAAGTCATCTTAGCTTTTGTCGTTTAAATAATAAGGACTGTTCTCTGTTAATTTTCAGGCTATCAGCAGATTAGGTGGACAAGGAATGAAACAGGAGTGTGATGACCTGAAGGTGAAGATACTTAATCAGACTAATCAGGAAATGATACTTAACATTAAACGTTCAAATGATGAAATAACGGAACTGAAAAGTCAGTGGAGAGCTTGAAAAAAGCCAATGAAGATATGACAGTAGAAGTTAACAAGTTAAAACTATCTCATGAAGATACAGTACCATGGAATATTAGGGGTAAATATTTGACAGTCAAGAATTGTAATATAGAAGAAGGTTAAAATTTGGCATAACTAAAGCAAATCTATTTTGAGCTATCTTTGATTTTCTGTTTGAATGTTGATTATATGTATTGGAAAAAAACAGTCCAGACAACTGTCATCCGACAAGATATTTTAATAATATTTGCCATATGATGCCTTAAAACATCAGTTTTGCCTGTGGTTATAGTGTCAGAATGCCAGTCACAGAGATAACAACCAAAGACTTGGTTGCTTCATATCTTCTTTGCAGCTGTCTAACTATTATGTTACAAAGCTTCTGTCTGTCATATGCCCATTTACACTGACCTCATTTTCATGGGTCCTCGACTGCTTGAAAAAATATGAAGAGTTTTTCTCATGTGAAATACTCACTTATTATGAGTAAAATGATAGTTATAATTGGTATTAGGGATCTTGCAAGGTCTAGACATCAGTCTGACAGGGTTCACCTGACCTCGACCTTTTTTCACGGATCAGTGATCAAGCATAAGTTTTTGTGGTCAAGATCGTATCTCAGATACTATAGGTAATTGGTCCGTAATACTTGGTGTGAAATGATTGAAAAGTGTGCATGTCCGTTTCATTTGACCTTGACCTAATGTTAAGGGTTCAATGGTCAATGTTAGAATTTTGTGGTTTTATCCTTTTATCAGATACGATCAGCAGTTGGTCAACTATATTTGGTGTTTGAAATGATTGTTAAGGATACATATCTGTCTGATAGGGTTCATCTAACCTTGACTTCATTTTCATGGTTCATTGGTCAATGTAAAGTTTTTGTGGTTTGTTCTGTCTTTCAAGTACTGTAAACAATACATTTGTAGATCAGCTTATTTGGTGTATGGAATGATTAAAAGTTGTCTGTCTTATACGGTTCATGTAACTTTGACCTCATTTCATTGTTCATTAGTCAATGATAAGTTTTCAGCGTTACCTCTCTCTTTTAGATACTAAGAAATAGGTCAACTCTATTTGGTGTATTGCATGAGTGCATTGGATACACATTGTCTGCCAGGGTTCATCTGATCTTGACCTCATTTTATTGATTCATTAGTTAATGTTCATTTTTTGTAATTAGGTTTGTTTCTCAGATAATATGAGCAATATGCTAACTGTATTTGATGTATGGTATGACATTTAAACATGATTAGTAAAGCAAGCAAGACATTTCAGTATGTGCACTCTTGTTTTTGGAACTTTAAAACTAATTTAACAATGAAATAACAGGGTGAATAATTAAATCAATTGACACAAAACAAAATGGGGAAGTCCATTAAACTTTACAAAATCAACCTTTAAACTAATTTCAAGCAACTGAACGAATAGAAAACAATTGTCATATTACTGACTTTGTACAGGCATTTTCCAAAGAAAATGTGGCATAAAACTGATGTGAGATTTGTTCTTGGTGAATTGGACAAGTTTTAGAATGCTTCTGATTGCAATTCTCTAAATGGTTAATATCCTACAAATCAGTGAACTTGCATTTCCTGGTATGCAGGTCACAATTCCAGTCACAACAGACTGAATCAAATAAATACACAAGCTAAACAAAAGCAACAGTAGTATACCGCTGTTCAAAAGTCATAAATCGATTGAGATAAGACAAATCCGGGTTATAAACTAAACCCGAGGGAAACACATCAACTACAAGAGGAATGAATTTATTTCCAGTCCTGTTGATTTGTTATGTTTTGGAATAAAAGGGAGTTGTCTTGCCATAAAAAGATAGACAAGAATACTTTAAGTGTATATGGAAAGCAACAATCAATATCCATCTTGTGTTGGTCTTATATTTTAACAGTCAAAGACTTTAAAACTACTTATTGATATCTCAGTTATTTTTTTATGGAAAACTTCGGCATGTTCGAGAAAAGCAAACATGATTTTAACTTCTAAAATCCTTCCCAAAATCATCAACATTTACGAAATGACAGAAAAAAATTTACACTGTCATTGAAATCAATTTGTGAAGTGAACAATTTTAACAATATTAATGTCATAAAGACACACAAACCAGTTCAATCCAGAATGTGTTCATCAAATTTAAAGTATTTGTAAACGCTAGACCACTCGACCACCTAGGCTCTGTAATAATAAAGCTTTCGGTGGCCGGGTGTTACCTTTCCTCGTCAGTTTTTATCTAGCGTCGTAATGCTTCATGCCTTATATATCATGTACTGTGTTACGACGCTTAATAAAAACTGACGAGGAAAGGTAACACCAGGCCACCGAAAGCTTTATTATTATAGAGCCTAGATGGTCGAGTGGTCTAGCGCGTCGGGCATAGTGCAAGGCGATTTGGTGTCAATAGCATGAGTTCGAATCCCGGCCAGGGAAGAACAAAAAATTTGCTTCCGCAAATTTACAGATCTAACATTGTTGGGCTGTTGTTTAGACGAATTATATATACAGAATGTATTTTCAGCCTGTATCACCATCACTGCTGTTGATCCGATGGATAATATCTGTTGTAGAGTCGTCACTGGTTCAGAATTACTTATATATATATAAATTTTTGTTAAAATAGACTTTTGGAAATTGTTGTTTGTGCAGTATTTAGGACCCCTCTACCAAGAAATTTGTTTTACATGCACACGTATAAAAATTGCGGTTTTTATCCAACGCAATCATAGGTTTGAACGTTGTTTTCAATTTAGACTTTTAAATATATATATATATACCCCTTCATATCATTATGAAAATGAGAAGATGAGGTGTGAAATGTGTTATCAATGTCAATGAGAGAGATATTCACCAAACACTAAAGGACAAGAATATTGGCATATATTGGTCATATGGTCTTCAATAAGGAGTAAAACCCATACTGTATAGTAAATAAATTTTAAATACTCATAAACTTTTTTGTCTTTTGGAAATTGTTGTTTGTGCAGTATTTAGACCCCTCTACAAAGAAATTTGTTTTACATGCACACGTATAAATATTGCGGTTTTTATCCAACGCAATCATAGGTTTGAACGTTGTTTTCAATTTAGACTTTTAAATATATATATATATACCCCTTCATATCATTATGAAAATGAGAAGATGAGGTGTGAAATGTGTTATCAATGTCAATGAGAGAGATATTCACCAAACACTAAAGGACAAGAATATTGGCATATATTGGTCATATGGTCTTCAATAAGGAGTAAAACCAATACTGTATAGTAAATTTTAAATACTCAGAGAAAACAGAATGTTGAACAATGTAAAGAAAATACGAACAGTCTGAGTTTTACTTAAACAAAAAATAAACAACAATTATACTAGACACCAACTAATGACATTCACTGTACTACAAACTCCTGACTTCAGACATGCACATAAAAAATGTTGCAGGGTTGAAAATGTTTGAGACCTCAGCTCTCTGCTTACATGGAACAGTCCTGTAATAGCAAAGCATGAGAACAAACTATCAAAAAATCAATTAGAAAAGTCCTGACTATTCATATAGATGCTTAGCACAAACAACAACCAAAACAAAACATAGACACATAGTTAATAAAGTTCTTATCAAAACGTACTCACAGCTAGATACTGAATGCTAGCCTATCAACTATTTTATGATAAACCATGTTTTTTTTTTTATCTTAGACAAAGATATCAATCAATGCACATCCAACGGATTTAATGTAAAGACATCACAATTTGTCTGAGCAAAGAATGTCCTTGTCAAATTTGAGTATCAACAGGCTGTGGACCAATGGTGTTAATAACTGCAATATATGTTTAATTATGTATTATACATCAAACAAAATCAGAGAAAGTACTGTTTGAGGCAACTTTCAAAGAAAAAAACTACAATGCCAAACTGATTACCTTTAAGAATTAGTTTATGTAAAAGCCAAATTTGTTCACAATGATAGTATCTTAATTACAACCAGGTGTGTCCGGTGAAAATATTTGATTGCATTGAAGTAACTAAATGATACTTGGTGCTATTGTTGTCCCCAAGAGGGGTCAATGTAGTGATGAGGGTTTGAATGGTTGTCTGCAAGGTCAAGGTGACAAACTTATATGAACTTAACAATCCCATGTTTAATGTACAAAGTTTTTTCTACCTGCTGAATGCCGTTAGAGATATTCATGATATGTTTTGTTATATGTGTGCCTACCAAGAGGGGATGCGTCTCAAATAAGTTAAGACTGTTTGTCTGAAAGGCTAAGGTCACACAATGATAATATTATCATGACAATGAGAGAAGAGGCCGGTGTAATATTTTATGAGCTATTTTATCATATACAATCAGTGCAAAAGAGAGACTTAAGATTCCATATTGAAATTTAATATCAAAAGTTTGAAACCAACAAAAATCAGGGTTGATCTCATGTGTTCCAAAAGAGCAAGCAGACACTTCTCCCTTTGTGGCACTCTTTGTGTTGCACGGTTTACATATCTGTCACAGTCTTTTTTTTTTATTATTGGACAGACATAGTGAGTAATATATAACCCCGGTTTTGCTGATGGTGCTATAAAATGAACATGTAATTATTAATTAGGGACAAATTGAGGGCTTCTATGAATTTTTTAAACTTCCATCTTAATTGACAAGGACTGCCAGTTTTATATACAGTTGATTAATCTGGATAGAGAGAGTCATTGATTTAATTATATTTCAGCACAAAACAGTGAGATCCTCGTGGAGTGGAAGGACAAAGACAATATGTTTATAACAACCAGAGGTGCAACACATGTACTGAAATATATAAAAGAGAACAGTTGTGTAACTATTATTGCTAGTTCTGGTGTGGGTAAGACGGCAACACTCCGACATGTGGCTTTACAAATGGGAAAGGAAGGATACGATTTACTTCTAGTTACAGATCCACGTTACATTGTTAAGTTTTATAATCAAACCCAGAAAACGTTGTTTGTTATTGATGATTTATGTGGAAACTATTCCTTAAACCAGACTAACATAAATGTTTGGGAACCATTCATGGAGCAAATACAAAAGATTCTTTCAACTGAACTTGCCAAAATAATTGTAGCATGTCGATTACAAGTGTATCAGGATGACAAGTTTGAATCTTTATCAGTTTTCAAATCATGTGTCTGTAACCTGATATCAGATAACATGTGCTTGTCAAAAGTTGAAAAAGAATCAATAGCTGAAGTATATCTTAAGGAAAAAGCACCTGAGATTAAAGATTTTTATAATTTATATGATTGTTTCCCACTTTTATGCAAATTGTATTATGAAAATCCTGCACATACTACCATAGATTTTTTCCAGAATCCTTTTACAGTTTATGAAGCAGATGTTGACAAACTACAGAAGAAAGGATTTTTTGGTAAGTACTGTGCTTTGGCTTTATGTGTCATGTTTAACAATAATTTGAAGGAAGAGATATTAACAGAGGGGATGAATGAAGAAACAAGAACAATTATTGAGAACACATGTGAGGCATGTAAGTTGCATAGAGGGACATCCAGGCTTACTTTGCAGGATGAACTGAACTCATTTATACATACATTCCTCAAAAAGGAACAAAACATATACAAAACTATTAATGATAAAATGTTCGACTTTCTGGTGTACTTCTTTGGACAGAAAATAATTACATGCATGATAAAATATGCACATAGTAGCTTGATCAAGGAAAGATTTCTGTTAGGAAAACAAGACAATGTGGATCGGTTTAAAACAGTTGTGTCTCCTGACAATCATGAAATGTAATTACAAAGAATGATTGATGACTGGTCAAAGGGTAAAGTCGATGATGTGTTTAGTAACATAAATATGAATATATCTCAGTTCAGAAACAAGTTTATCTGTTGTTTGAAAAAACTGGATGTAACTTACCAGAAACAATTAGCACTCACCTGTGATGAACATAGCAATGATACTGCACTGCTATTGTCATGTTTTATAGGTGACAGCCATATGATTCGTTGGTGTATTAATAATAATGGTAATGTTGATCAGTGTAGGAGTAATGAGACAACACCATTGAAACTAGCTGCCCAGGAAGGTTTGACTGAAATAGTAAGGATGTTGTTGAACAAAGAAGCAGATTATAAAAAATGTAACAATGATGGATGGTCACCTGTCATTAGTGCTTGTCAAAATGGACGAACAGAAATAGTAAGGATGTTGTTAGACAAAGGAGCAGATTATAATACATTTGAAAATAATGGTGTGTCATCTGTAATGTGTGCTTGTAGATATGGCCATACAGAAATAGTACGAATGTTGTTAGACATAGGAGCAAATTATAATAAATGTGATAATAATGGTTGGTCACCTGTACGTAGTGCTTGTAGATATGGACATACGGAAATACTAACGATGTTGTTAAACAAAGGGGCAGCTTATGACACATGTAACAATACTGGTTGGTCACCTGTACTTACTGCTTGTAGATATGGGCATACAGAAATAGTAAAGATGTTGTTAGATAAAGGGGCAAATTATGATACATGTAACAATGATGGTTGGTCACCTGTATTTAGTGCTTGCAGATATGGACACATTGAAATAGTAAGGATGTTGTTAGACAAAGGAGCAGATTATGATATATGTAACAATGATGTTTGGTCACCTGTAATGATTGCTTGTAGTTATGGACATACAGAAATAGTAAGGATGTTGTTAGACAAAGGAGCAGATTATAATAAACGTAACAGTAATGGTTTGTCACCTGTAATGCTTGCTTGTATTGAGGAACATGCAGAATCTACAGAAATAGTAAGGATGTTGATAGACAAAGGAGCGGAATATAATACATGTAGCAATGGTGGTTGGTCACCTATTAATATTACTTGTAGAAATGGACGTACAGAAATATTAAGGATGTTGTTAGACATAGGAGCAACTCCTTTTAAATGTAACAATGATGTTTGGTCACCCGTAATGATTGCTTGTAGAGAAGGACATGAAGAAATAGTAAGGATGTTGTTAGACAATGGAGCAGATTGTAATACATGTGATAATGATGGTAGGTCACTTGTAATGAGTGCTTGTAGAAATGGACATATAGAAAAAGTAAGGATGTTGCTAGACAACGGAGCAGATTATAATAAATGTGATAATAATGGTTGGTCATCTGTAATATTTGCTTGTAGATATGGACATACAGTAATAGTAAGGTATTATTAGGCAAAGGAGCAGATTATAATAAATGTAACAGTGATGGTGTGTCACCTGTAATGCATGCTTGTAGATTTGGACATCCAGAAATAATAAGAATGTTGTTAAATAAAGGAGCAGATTATAATACATGTAACAATAAAGGCCAGTCAGCTCTAATAATTGCTTCAGAAAGAGGTCATAGTGATATAGTTAGTATAATAAATGAGCATTCGAGGAAAGAAACAGGTACATAACACTATAAAGATATTTAAGATTTGAAGTTTGAAGATTTTGATTTAGATTTAACATTAAATTAACTTTAACCTCTACGTCATTTGGTCTATTGTGGAGAGTGGTCTCATTGGCAATAATATCACATCTTATTTTTATCTTTTTTTTCAGATATTTCAGTTAGAAGATTTCAGATTCGTCAATTAATTAACCTTAACTCTAAATACATAAATCTTAAACTGTCGTCGTATTATTTCTTAATAATCACTGTACTTCTAAACAATTAATGTCCCGAATATTCAAGAAATATTTATTTGCCACTGGATGTTAAGCATCAACAATCAATCAATCCCAAAGATTAATACACAGAAAACGCATGTTGTGCTATTGATATGATAGTTAAAAATCCAAATATAGATTATATATTGTAGCATTTTAAAGCTAAACTACATGTGTTCCCAAACTTAATCAGTTTTATCCAATGATGGTAGGTGACAGTGACAGACAAATATTCATGCTTTGCCCCTTTTCTCAAGAACCATAAAAGATAACAAAAAACTATAAACAGCAAAATCAACAGCAATGCAGAATATAGAAAAAAGCCCGAAACCATTGGACGAGTCCTTATAGAAGTTGTTGACCTTGCAACAATTGTTTGACTCATTTTTATTATTATGCAAATTAATTTGGAAACTATAATAGATAGATAGACATTGTAAATAGCAAAATGGTCAGTTATGGAAAAGCTTCAAATATAGCAAAAATGGCTGAAACCATGTATGCTCGTAAAATCAATTTCACAATTTTTGGTAAACTATTGCATACAAATTTAGCACGTTAAAATTTAAAAGAACATCGAATTTATTTTATTATTTGAAATATTACTGATTTAATTCTTTTAAAATAGATGAACATTTGTAGAGAAGGCACTTTGAGTTAGCGAAAAACGAATATATCTTAAAAACATCAAATCTCCAATCTTGAATTTATAGGTTATTCTTAAAAATAACTATATCTTGTGAGACATACATTTCCGTTTTAATGATGTAAAATAATAATAACTGTTTAATGTTTTGTAGCATTTTCTGAAATTTATTACATGTGAAAATGCTTCACCATTTTTATTGTATAATGTGTTTTCAAATTCGTTTCCCCTTACTTCCTGTTTACTGTAAACTTAAAACGAGGATTTCATAAGGTTGACTGGTTCCCTCTCCTTTTTCTGTTTGGCTCTGTTATCGGCCCTTGACAACAAGGGTGACTGAGATAACCGTATGTTGCAAAAGAGTGGACCAGCCTAATCATAAATAAGCAATAGCTCATAGTTGTACTTGTTTGTACCTTTAAGTTGGTGTGTATACAGGCTCAAATGATTGTGCATACGATTGTAGAGAAGTATGTTAATGTGTATTTAAGTATATTGTTATTACGTTATAACCACTATTTTATTGTAATTTGATTAAATATGATCATAATATTTTTGTATGATTTCTCAATAAATACCTCGGAGTTATGTACTAAAAATGTACTGATAATTTTGACGTCTGTTTATCACACTGGTATTAACTTATAATTTGACAATTGTTTACAACAGAGTTGTTCACTTAGAATCAAATAATTGTTAATCACAGACTTATATAGTTATCATTTGACAATTGTTTACAACAGAGCTGTATACTTATAAACAAATAATTGTTAATCACAGACTTATATAGTTATCATTTGACAATTGTTTACAACAGAGTTGTTTACTTATAATCTTACAATTGTTTTCTACTTAATTACTTGCTTGTAATTGAAGAATTGCGTAACTCGGAACTATTTACTTATAATAGGATAATTCTTAACCATGTAGGTGTTTACTTACAATTTGCAATTGTTCACCACTTAGATATAATTATTACTTGTAACCACATAGTTGTTTACTTATAATCTTACAACTTTTTACCACAGAATTATTTACTTATAATTTAACAATTGTTTACCTCAGAGTTGTTTAATTATAATCTGACGATTGTTTACCACAGAATTTATTACTTCTAATTTTAACAATTGTTTATCACAGAGCTGTTTTCTTATAATTTGACAATTGTTTATTGCAGAGAGTTGATTAAATTATAATTTGTTTATTCATAATTTGACGATTGTTTACCACAAAGTTATTATAACTGATTATTTTACAATTGTTTTGAACAGAGTTGTTTATGTATAGTTCGACAATTGTTTTCCACATTTATTTTTAATTATAATTTGACAATTGTTTACCACAAATTTGTTTAATTATAATTTGACGATTGTTTACCTTATAGTTTGATAATTGTTTACCACAGAGTTGTTAATCATAATTTGACGATTGTTTACCATAAACCTTTTTTTATTTATAATTATATAATTGTTTACCACAGAGCTATTAACTGAAAATTTGACAATTGCTTTCAACAGAGTTGTTTATGTATAGTTAGACAATTGTTTACCTCAGAACTGTTTACTTATGAATTGACTATCATTAACAACAAAGATGTTAAATTATAATCTTACAATTGTTTACCACATAATTGTTTACCTATAATCCTACAATTGTTCACTGCAGAATAATTTACTTATAGTTTGACAATTGGTTACCACAGAGTTAGCTAATTACAATTAAATGATAAATAACGACAGAATATTTCACTGACAATTTTAACAATTGTTTACCACAAAGCTGTCTCTTATGATTAAACAGTTGTTTACCACATAATTATTTACTTACAATTTGATAATTGTTTACCAAAGAATTATTTACTTATAAATATGACAATTGTTTATCACAAAGATATCACTAGTGAGTCCGATTCAAAAAGTAAAGATGCGATACTATATGTCAATAACAGATGGACAATTCTCTGAAGCGATGCTGACAAACTAATTTATGTATATTTAAAATTGCTTTTTACATTTCAACAATGCCGCCATTGAAGTATTCTTGTCCACTATAAAATGAAAATAACATTACATAAACTTGGGCGTACGGAGCCCTTTTCTGGATTTACGTCCATGAAGAAATCTCAATCCCTAAATATTTGAATACAGTTGCATGTAATTGGCTTAATGTACGCAATGTCTCGACTCAGGAAAGACATGTTTTATGGTTGTTGATATCTTAACAAAATGGTCGTCTAATCTGTTTAATACCGATTATATACTATTCACTAATTTGACCGTTTAACTCACTCTGGATATGCTTAGCGGACGACGCATGAAATACCAGGAAATACTTTCCATATCCACACACAAAGTCCCGCTCCGTTTGGAATTACGCACAAGGTTCTGCTCCATCTAAAATTCATTGAATGCCCTCGTTTTTTTTTTAATTTTTAAACATTTTGATTACATTTTAAATTAAATTAACAACATTTGAACATTGGCAAAATGTTTGGTAAACTATGCGATACTTGATCAAAATACTGTATAGTAATAGTATAACAGTATATTTCTTGTTAGTACTATGATCATTGGCAAGTACTATGATTCTGTTTTATTGCGGCTGTGGGAAATATAAATACATGTAGCTTTAAAACTTTACTTCGTTGCACACGTACAGTATTTATACACCTTGACGTTTTATCCTATACCGAGAAACATCCCTTCGAAATGTAAACGTTACATCAAGCTACAAATCCTTGTGTAGAGTGATTTAAATATCCAAAGAACCCTTGTAAAATCTTTCTGAGTAGTCAAAAATGGCCTCTTTCAATGTATTTTGTTACCCTTATCCGACATACCTAAGTTTCTCGCTGGTGATTAGAATTGAGATAGGCTCCTCATATTTCACAAACCATTGACAAGTTATATGACAGCATGATGATGTTTGATATATACTTTTGAATTTCTGATTGTAGTAACGTCTTTGAGTATTCTCTTGATCGGACTAAACATTGAGTTAAATTTAATTAAAGCTTAAATAAATATGTACTGTAATACACTTATAGACATTAATGATGCTTCATTGATTAAACCTTTATTTTGGATGGCAAAAGGTCATGCTTTTAAATTTCAACTTGAACATAAACCAGTCCAAAAATATCAGTACAAATCCCACAAAATTGGCTTAAAGACGTGATACACAGCGGGGAGGGATACAATCCCTAGACAAAAAATTAATTATTTCAATGTTTTTTTAGTCAAAAAATACAATAACCGGTACATAAACATAAAATATTGTGGAATGATTGCCAAGGAAACAACTTTCAAATAGAAAACAAAATGACATAGATGGAAGCAACTAAATGTCATGGTATGGCCTTCAACAATGAGCAAAGCCCATACCGTATATAACCGTTTATATCCTTTTGTAATCTATCTTTATTTACTGAATCGTCTGTTAAAAATGTATGGGCACTCAAATATAGGCAATCAAAATTCTAAAGACGAGGCTTCATTTTCTATTTTTTTCGAACGATTTTGTAATTGAAGATAGATTACAAAGACCATGAACGGTTAAATTCGATACCAAACGATAAAAGGATGTACTAGATACCTTTGCATTTTCTTGAATCTTGATATCTAACTTCTAAATAAGCTTGTATCAAGCAATGTGCGACAGAGTTATTAGACGTTAACAATGTCAAAAACAACTTGGAGATCGATGCTTATTGTTGTTTTATTATTATATTTTTTAACATGGGGGTATATGGTGTTGGTGGGATATCATTGGTAGGCTTGTTTAATTCATTCACATATATTTAGACCCTATCGATTTAGAGCTTGAAACATTGTATACACATCTCTATTGTTCAAGATGTCTTTTAATTTTTGTATCAGTTGGGTTCCTGACTCTTTAATGTATATCCCACATCTCATTTTATTCACATGAGATTTCTGTCACGCACTTATAAGAATTTTTAACCTTATAAAACTATAAGAAAAAGATATACAAAATGATGCTGTCAATGCTGGCCTTAATGAATAATTTAATTCAACCGAAATAGAAAAAACAGTGATAATGATAGATTGCCATGACGATTAACTTGTTTTATCTTGTTATGATAATCACATTAATTTTACAAAGCACAACAGCTGTCCCAGTAAATAATATACGCTGCTTAATAACAAAACCCCGCCACATTCTGTATGTGCCTTTCCGAGGCAAGCAGTCTGTGACTTGCTGTCGTTTGTTGCTGTATATCATATTTATTTTTATTTTTTTTATTTTGTACATAAATCCCCTGTATTGTTTTCCATTTGTCATGTTGGGGACTTTTATAGTTTTCTATGTGGTACTGGTTTTTGCTTATTGTCTAGGCCGTACGGTGACGTATACTTGATAACTTCTACGTCATTCGGTTTCTGGTTGAGAGTTGTCAAAATATAACAAAAAGGGCAAGCAATTATCAGTGGAAGAACGGACACAGTATTGCCAAAACATAAGTATACAAATATGTCCTTTATTTCACGTACCACTTACCCTCGCCATTAACCTATAAAAATATATTTGAAAACTTTCTTCCATCGCATATTGCTTGGATAGAATAATTATCTTGTATTGTAAAAAAAAAATAAGGGTCGTAATTTTATAAAATGAAACCGACAACTTTGCATACCAAACCATAATAATATGGCGAAAAATTTTATGTTTGAAGTATGGTCACCTTCTCCCTTAAAGCCAAATTGGGAATATATACACAAGGGCCATGTTATAGTTTTTAAGATAATTGGCAAGATTTTGTTCCCCGTAAATCGTCATAAATGGGCAATTACTACTATAACTAGTTGTCTGAAAGTTTGGTAAATTTCAATGTTCTCAAAATTTCTACCCCTATGAGATTTTCTCTTTGTATAGCGATTTACAAGATAAGAAACAAAATTTTTGTTTTAGCCATATATTCTATTTTAGCAATGTCAGTCATGTTGGTTGGAAGTTGTGAATATCTGACACATTTTTTACACAAATTCCCTCAATTATGATTTAATCTTACTTTTCCAATTTGCCCAGTTGTTTCAAAGGAGAAGATTTTTATAAGATGACGGACGAAGGACTTCAATTAAGGAGAAAAGCTGTAAAATGTATTATATAATTCCCGTGCGCACAAAATGTATTCCTAATCGTACCCGGGTACGATAAAAATTTTGAAATTGTTCGGGAAGCTAAAATATAGAAATATGGTTCTGTAACAGAATATCAAATACCGTCTAATAAAATTGAGAATAGAAATGGGGAATGTGTCAAAGAGACAACGCCCCGACCATAGAGCAGACAACAGCTGAAGGCCACCAATGGGTCTTCAATGCAGCTAGAAACTCCCGCACCCGGAGGCGTCCTTCAGCTGGCCCCTTAACAGAACAGATTTGCTTAAGGGAGAAGAAATGTATAAATACAGCGTATCAAGAATCACTGGTGACATTTTTTTCGCAGTCATATATTTAGATACTAGAATAATCGTCTGATCTGTAATGTTACCGATTGTGTCCTTCAATGTATTCCAGATTGTGATATTTTGACTGAGTATAGATTCGCATTGCGGGTAACGCATACATAGCAGGAGGCACTACTCTGTCAACGTACCCGTTGATTTTCTTCTTTTGGAGTTCATTCGGTTTCATCAGTATTGTAATCCTTTTGGATTTCAGAAATTTTAACATCGGTTGAATGCTGCTGCAAAAATGTAGAGCTAAATATGTGGTGTAGATGATTGCGTTATTTGAGTACTGTTTCATCAATGTATACCCAATATGTATTTTATTTATAGACATATGAGTAAAAACAGTTGAAAAAAAGTCAGGAATATTACAGTTGTGTTCCATTCGTTTGATGTGTTTGGGTTTTGATTTTGCCATTTGATAAGAGATTTTTCGTTTTAAATTTTCCGTGGAGTTCGGTATTTTTGTTATTTTACTTTTTAGCATGAACATCCAATGAATGAGTCCAGGTTAGTTGACAGGATTGGCATCCCTATTATGCAAAATATCCCATGTTGCTTTCCATTAGAAGGTGTCGCACTACATACAAATGACGTGGATTTAAACAATGTTAGGTCACGGTACGCCTTTAAGCAATGAATAAAACCCATACCGTTTAGTCAATTATAAAAGGCTCCGACATGACAAAATGTAAAGCACATTTTGGGATGTTTTGTCTTTTCACTCATTCATTTGTTTATTTAATGTTTAGATATCACAGGACAAAAAATGATTCAGGATATGTTTGTGTTAATTAATATATTTCTAAATAATTACAGAACTTTCAAAAGTAACCCACTAAACAAGAAAACATCATTTCATATAAGGTATTCATGTCTAAAGAATATCAAAATACAAATGTAACCTTGAACAACTTTATTACATGTAAAACATATCAATATTCATTAAAGCGTTTAACTGTTCGGTTATGATTGAAACAGAAATACATTGTATTATTCGTTTTTTTTTTTTTTTTGTGGTTTTTGACAGCATTTGCAAGAACATATCAAATGTTTGCAATATATTCTACCTCTAACACAAGGGTCAACGAATCAGAACGAGAGCTAAACATCGCAAATTTATGATTAACAATCCATATATTTTTTAGTGCAGACTCTGCGTTGCGATGAATATGCTCATTATTCCTACTCCTCTGCTCATCAGTATACTTTAGTTATCACGTGTATTTAACAGTTCTTATACCTTGCATGTTAATTGATACATGCACATGAACCAGACTAATTGGAATTTGACCACACGTGCATGTTACTGTCAATTAAGAAACTGGCGATATTAAAGTCCGACCTTATTTACTTTTTTTATTATCAAATGATATGGTCAAATCAGCCCTATATTGATAAATCAGCATATAT